CGGCCCTGCCCCCCGCGCCCGGCGCTCCCGGGGGCGGGATGGGCCTGGCATCCCCCCCCCGCGAGTTTCACCTTCTGAATCGCAGCGGGAGTGATCTCCCCCTTGCCTCGCTGCCTCGGGGCCGCGAACGCCACCGACATATTGCCGCCGTCACCCTCTCGGCAAGTCCCGAGCGCTCCGGGTGAACGGCAAACTGGGGGAAAAGACGCCGGCCTCTCGGGCTGAACCATCTCGGGAATGCGGGGAGGGGGGATGCTCCAGGGCCGCGCCAACGGCCGGCCGGCCTGGCCTAGAAAAGGAACTCTGGCCCGGCGATATCTTAATTCTGCACGGTTATACAGAAACCCAGCCCCGGCAGAAGCTTCTCCTTCTTGACTGTCCCGGGATCCCTCAACCTTTCCTTACCTGCACCCCCCCGTCCCTTTGCTCTAATGGTAGGGCCGCACCTCAGTCCTCCCTCCGCTTCAGCGATTCAGGAAATGGTCCCGCCGCCGCGGGAGAGGGAGAGGCCGGGGCTGCCCCTGTCACAGGAAATGCGAGCGGCCCGCGCCGGCCCGCCCTTTTCGCGCGGGTGCTCCTCGCCTCCCGCCCCGGCGCTCGGAGGCGTCCTTCGCGCTGCGCTTCCGAGCTTTCCTGTAGCCCGGGTGCAGTTTTCCCAACTTCCTCCTGGCTCCTCCTGGGAAGAAGTGGCCTCCCGGAGTTGTCCCGACAGCCCGGAGCGGAGAGGAGCAAGGTCAGCTCCGGAATTGGTGCAGATCCACGGAGCATCTGCCGGGAGGAGACAGAGGTGGGAGGACCAGGAGGACGCGGATTCGCAGGTTTCAGTGGCTCGGCTGCGCACCCCCGAGTCCACGGTCTCGCAGGCACGCCAAGTCGTGCCTAACGATTGCAAAGTAGCCCTGACCCGAAATCGGGACGCGGAGGCCGTGTCCGGTATTCAGGGGCAGTCGGCCAACTCGACTGGAGCGGCCAGAGAGGAGCTCGCCGCTCGGGGCAAACATTTGGCAGCAAAGTGGGTCGCTTTCGGCTGAGTTGGATATTTGGAATTCAGCTTTGAAATAGGGCATCCTGTCCCACTTAGTGGCTTGTGAATTAGGCCTGAGCTGCCAAGCTTCAAGACGGTGTAAAGAGGAAAGCCAAAGTTTTCAAATTATGGAAGGAAAACGGAAAAAGATGGATGTGTTACCGTGGGTTTTTTTTAATTAGTCTGTAAATTTAGATTTTCACATAACGCAGAGACAGTTTATATAAAATGTTACCAACATTAATGAGCCTTCAAAACCATTTGGAAAATGTTAAAGTATGTTATTTTAAAATTGTATGTTTCCAATAAATGCTTTTCACAAAAAGGTCAGAAGTTCCATTCACCCAGCAAATTTGGACACATTCTATGTTAGGCTTTATAATGGACTCCTAGGATACAACTATAAACAAGCTGGACATGGAACCTGCTCTCAAGGAGCTTATATTCTAATGAGACTCTTAACAGACCAGGAACGTGTGTGTGTGGGTGTGTGTGTGTGTGTGTAGTCCTAATGACAGGGACACAACATGAGTTGTGTGAAAAATCTTCTGGGTAATATTTAAACTGAGACTTAAGAGAATGAAAAGACTCAACCCATCCTAAGAATAAATAGAAAAAAGTTTATGTTCCTAATAGTCATTATTCTCAGGAATTTAATTGTTTTTTCACTATCCTAAGCCATGAAGAAAACACTCTGGTATAGTAGAACTTTAATCACCTCAAATTGGAGACATTTTGATGGAATTCAGAACGAAAACCAATTCTTGCCTCCCACTAACACTGTGTGACGAACATCTGGCATGCTTAGTCATGTTGTGATGTTTACACAGAAGTACTTTAGTACTTAGTGGTTAAGAACAATATTTCAGTAGGAAAAAAGTGAATCTTAAAAAGTCCTAAATGCTCCAGCTCCCTGAGAGAAGTCACTTAAACAACCCTACAGCTCCATCAAGCTTCGTTTCTAAAGCCCAGTCAGTTAGCCTGGACTAAGAAAGTAGAAAACTCATACAGAGGGAAAATTGGAGCCTGGAGAGACTTTCTTAAAATTTTGAAGCCTTAGTAATTTCAATAGTCCTGACCCAAGGAATACTTATGGAAACATGATAAATCCTATCTCACTTTACCGTTAGTTTTGAGAAGAACCCCAAAGTAGATTGAGTTGGTAGCAGAGTTGGGAGGAAAAGGGGAACAAAATTTAGTTAAGGAAGAAACCGAATGAATATGGGGAGTTGGTCTAAGTCTGGGAAATGACTTTGGGGACTTAAAAGCAATCTGCTCAGGCAACCATCTCCCCAGCCAGAAGAATCAGTCCCATAATTTAAAACTGTTGTTGGATTGAGACATCTGAAGAAGGAATCAGCATCACATAACCAAGAGGTAGAAGATCTTTGGGAGTAATCCTAGTAGAACAACATATACAGTGGCCCAGAATAAGTAAAATAATCTGCATGAATAGTTACACCAATGAATAAATTAAACCAAAATTAAAAGGTTAAAAAAGAAAATTGTCCATATTTGATTTTCAAATGTGTTTCAGTTTTTAAATTGTTTTATATGAATTTTTTGTGTTCCTTAAGTATGTTTTAAGGAATTGATAAAATGCAGCTGAAGTTTGTTCAGTATATTTAGTGAAACTATATAATCATATTAAAAAGCATTTTAATCTACAAAAAAGCCATGCATGTATAGATAACAGATAATATTGCTTTCATACAAGCATTTCTTTAATACTTACTGTTTTATAATTAACAGAATATCTGGACTGCCAAATTTGCTGATATTTTAGCCTTGTGCTGCCATAAATTCTTAGAATACATTGGGAAGGCACAGACCAAGCCTGTCTGCTCATAATTGGGCTCAGAGCAAAATCCCTCAGGTAATATCTTTCAAAATATTTCTGCTCACAGTCTCTGTGGCATTTGATGAGTCAATCTGAGTTGTGGCTTCCACAGATTTCAAGACTATAAAGACAGCAGCATACGCCTATATATTTATATAATCATTATTCTAGGCAAGAACAAATCACCTTTCCCAATTCTCCATAAAAGACTTTTATTTTTTATATTCCATAGGATTTCATTCAAAGTAGACTGTAACAAAGACTATCTGAGGCATTTTTATCTCTTCCCATAGTGTCAAATGTAGAATAAATTAAAGATGAACTGAATCAATTATATTTTGGGGTTTAGTGTTTTAGAAAAGTATTGCTTTTTGGGAAAAAAAATAAATCCTATGGAAAGCTCTTTCACTCATTGTGAAAAATGTACAAGTTTGGCGTTCTCAATTCTTCCACCTGTGGCATAATACTGGACAGGTCATTTCTTAATCTCACTAGACTTCCTGAAAAACAGCTGCTCTGTCTAAAAAGCTATTACATATAATAAGGTTTATTTATTTACTATTTATTATGCACCAGCCACCATGCTAATAATTATCTTACATTAGATTCATTAAGATTGTCTCAATTTTAACAGGTAAAATGTGGAAAGAACACATGGAGTATTGTGAGTTATTAAACAAGGATAAGATTTGTATGTGATAATATAAAAAGGTGGAAAATGTACATTTCAAGACTAGAAATGATTCAAAGTATGTGATAATGCAATTTACCCTTGGGAAATTTCTGGTCATAATTTAGATAGCAAATGTTCCTTTCTCCCATTTAGCATGTTTCTCTGCCCTTGTGCATACTCAGTGATACTATCCCAGCAATAATACTCGGTAATCTATCACAGAAATAACAAAGTACCACATGTTCTCATTCATAAGTGAACCCTGGACATTTACCATAATACTATAAGAAAGGAATTGGCAGTAGTGGGATACCCAGGGTGGGGGGGGGGAACATAACATCAAACCAGGCAAAGTGGAGACCAAAGGGAGACCCAAACTTTACCTGTATGATATTCACTTGTATTCCTAATCCTGAATTGTACCCCACATCTTTAAAATAAAAAAATATATACATAAGATAACTGTTTTTTAATTATTTCACAATTTATAGACAGGTTATGATATACTATCTGTTAACTAATTTCCCTATGAATGGGTGTGGTAGGCAGAAGAATTACATCACCATACAAATGACCACCTCCTAATCTCCAGAACCTGTGATTATGTTAGGTTACATGGCAAAGTGGAATTAAGAATTTAGATGGAATTAAGATGGTTAATCAACTGACTTTGAGATACTGAGATTAACCTGAATTATGCAGGTGGGCTCAATGACATCACAAGTGTCCTTAAATAGGAAACAGGCTGCAGAAAAATAATCAGAGAGATGGCATCTCGAGAGAGATTCAACTGGCCATTACTGGATTTACTGACACTCTGACTTTAGCTCAGTGAGACTTACTTCAGACATCAGACTTCCAAACTATAAGATTTTATATATATATATATATATATATATATATATATATATATATATGTATGTATGTATGTTGTGTTAAGCCACTAAATTTGTGGCCATTGGTTAGATAAGCAACAGATAACAGTGCTGTTCTCCATCATAACACCTGAATTAGACAATATGCTGTAAAATATTGATAAATTAGTAAATATGTGACAAACTGTGTCCTAATATATATCCAACTAACCTAGCAATCACATTTATTATATATTTTCTTTAAAAGAAAAATAATAATATAATATTGTAAGGATTACAAAAAAATAGAGATTAAAAAATCCGTGATAAAACCAACACAAAAGATAGAGGGAAATAAAATCACACTGTTGTAAGGTTCTTATATTTTCTATGCAATGGTAGAACGTTATTTGCAAATATATTATGATTAGGTTAAATATGCATATTGCAAACCTAAGAGAAGTAGTTCTCAAACTCTATTGTCTCAGAACCCTTTGCACTCTTAAAAAAATCAATGTGTGCTTCAAAACCCTTTAAATAGGTTATGGTTCTCAATACTTACCTAATTAAAAATTAACACTTGGGGCTTTTTAACACAAGCAGAGACTCCATTTACTGTCACAGCAATGAGATCCTCATGTATCATGTAGCCTCTGGAAAACCCCATTGTGTACTTATAAGAGAAAATGAATTTTAAAAGACAAAAAAATCTCTGGTATCATTACAAAAATAGTTTTAACCTCCCAGACCTCTAAAAGAGTACAAGGGACTCCAGGAACCCCAAAATGTCACTCCGTAGCATCATATTTAAAAAGCAAAACTAATATAGACATTAAGTCAACAAGGAAGATGAAACAATACTACAAAATATTCATATAAATCAAGAAAAGGCAGGCAAATAAGAAAAAAAGACAAATACAAAAAAATGGTAAGATAGAATTCAAGTCAAGCAGATTGATACACTAAATATAGATGGTCTGAATACCCCAATTAAAAGGCAGAAATTGGGAAAAATACCTTCGAAAGGTAAAGATAGGTCTTCACCTCAGAAAATCCAATCCTCCATAAAAGCAACAAAACTGGGGTGAA